GCTCTAGCTTAGGTGCACCTGTTTCTTTACAGCTGAAGCACTGGCACCTTTAGTGTGCTAGAAGCCTTCAGTCTTGGATGGAGCTTCTGCTTAGCAAGTTGTGCTGTACCCTGGCAGCTTGAAAATGGAGCTGAATTTTCCTGTTTTCTGTCCTTTGCCATTCAGATTGCTCAAGAGGCAGAAGTCTGTGTTTTCTAGCTGTCCATTTGCTGGTGGTTAAGAAACCAAATGGGGAACTCCTCCAGACACTTGATGGATTTCCTGACGATTTCGGGGGGGTGGTGTGGTGGTGGTGTTGTGTTTGTGTGTTTGAGCACATTTTATTTTATTTTTTTTTTTTTCTTTCTTGAAGTGCTCTTAAACAAAACTTACTGAAAGGAATTTCTGACTAGTTTAGCTTTGGGTAGGAAAGGTCTAGGTTTTTGAGCCTAAATCTGTATTTGAGAAAAGAGGCAGAAAGCTATTAATAGAATTCTTGTTATCAGTTTTGGACTGCATAAACTAGTAGAAATATTAATTTTAGCACCAAGCCTGAGGGACTTCAGGAAAGCAAACAAGACAGACCTGAGCCGTGTCTAAAAAGTATATGACTTGGCTTTGTTTTCTAGCTAAGAATTAACTGAACCTTTTCAAAGCTCTTGTCCGATATGAACAGAATGCAATGCCTAGCTGTTTACCCAGGCATGCTCTGCCTAAAAGAGCCAAAAGTCATTGTCCATGATAATCTCTGGCAAAAATAAAGAGGAAGTGTTAGAACTTGCAGTACAGAAATGATTATCTGCTGAAGCAGTTCATTGAAGAGGAGAAAGTTAATGCTTGTGGGAGTTAGCACGGTGTGCGTGCATGCATGTGGATAGTTGTCGTTGTTGGTTTTGTTCTTCCCAATCTGAAATATGGGTGCATGTTCTGGTTTGGGAGGTGCAGTGTCACCTTTACCAACTTCAAACAGAGCATCTGTTGACATCTTACCTGCTCCCAAGTTATCGGAAATACTTTAATTTAATGTACTAAGTCCATGATGATCTGAAGGTATTTTTTTCCTGTTGACTGCTGTGCTAAACCAGGAGCAGAACTGCTCTGTGCCTTTTTGGCTTCTGCGAAGCAACCACCGAGTGCTCTTTACCTTGATTTTTAGTGGAATTGATCCCAGGATGAGGTATTGCTGCTCTGGGTTGGTGTCAGAAAGGTATATTAGGAAGCTATTTTGTTTGCTGGGAAACAAAATATTTCTTTTCTGCTACTCAGAGTAGGAGAAAGGACATCATAGTAACTTGCAGAGCAGCAGATGTTTATGACCTCTTACTAAACCACGATAAAACTAATAGAGCAAATATTTGCTGTGTTTTCTTGGACACAACTACATGGATGCTGAAGTAAAATTCTGATTCTTTGAAAGTTAATGCTAGATTTAGTGAGCCAGTTCAAGCTAAAGAATCAGTGAATCTGCAGAGGTTGCTTCTGTGTAGTTAAGTAGGAACTGGATTGTCTTTAAATAAATCCCTGCAAACTTTCATCTTTGTTGACTTCAGAATACTGTGTTCTACACCTCTCATTCTGAGCTATTTTCTGTTGTGGGCAGAGGGGAATAGGTACTTCCATTATAAGACAGTACAGATTGCATATTTGGGTGTCTAAAAAAAGAATCAGACAAATGCACCTGAGACACTTGGTTCTCCCTTCTCTAAAAGACAGCTGAAGATCATTGTCTCCGATGTGCTTGTTGACAGGGTAGGTGAGATGAATCCCACTCATTTTGTTTAGGAAAATCTGGAGGAGGAACCTTGATGTTTTTATTTGATTTATGGACTCAATACTTGTTGACAGGAAAGAGCTCCAAATAAAAAGATTGTCTGACAAAGTGCAAGTGCTTTATCGCACATTGCTCAGCACGTGGTCTGAAAAAGAGGCAGTATGATCTACATCCCTATCCCTTTTCAGTTAATTTAAGATGTTGCTTGAAAAATAGATGATACCTCCCACAGCAACGGAGTGCTGGGTCCAGTTGCTCCCTTCTGGTGTGTTTAGGATTGCTGGTGATTGCAGCAGAGTCATTGGTAGGGGGTGAGGAAATGCTGCCCCAGGGTATGAGTGCTTGAGCTGGACTGGAGGAGCAGTCTGGGGCTGGTATTACCCTGACCATGTGGCTGGCTGCCTGTCCTGCTTCCTAAGGACTAAGGAAGGTGTCTGTGTCTCTGGCTGCTGTAGATTGTGACAAACAAATGGGTTCCCATCTCTTCTGAGATCTCTCGATACAAAAATAAATCCAGTGTTACTACTGTCTGGATACATGGAGGGGCCTGGGCAGGTGTATTAAGGACTGAGATTTGGCTGGGAGTGGAGATAATCTGTGCCTATATGAGTAAGTTCTGCCCATTTAACACATACTGTCCCATTAAACCCCTAATGAACACTGTCATGTGTGCTCCAGTGCCACAGTCACTTAGGAAACACATGATGGGTCGCTGGTTATTTTTATATTCAGTTATATGATTTGTGTAGTACAAAAATACACTTAACTTTTTCCAGGCTGTACAGCTCCTCTGATTGCTACAACTTTTCTACCCTCCAGCTACATGCACATGCAATTTACTTACGCCCACCCGAGGTACTGAGGGAGCTGGTAGAAGTGCTCACCAAGCCACTTTGAATCATTTACCAGCAGTCCTGGCTAACCAGGGAGGTCCCAGTTGGCTAGAAGTTAGCAAACGTTGACACCTATCTACAAGAAGGGCCAGAAGAGGGAGCTACAGGCCTGTCAGTCTAACCTTGGTGCTGGGGAAAGTTACTTAGCCGATCATCCTGAGTGCTTTCATGCAACACATACAGGACAACTAGTTGATCAGGCCCAGTCATCGTGGATTCATGAAAGGCAGGTCCTATTTGACCAAGCTCATCTCCTTCTATGGCAAGGTTGGCCCACGTAGTGGATGAGGGAAAGGCTGTGGATGTTGTCTACCTGAACTTAAGTAAAGTCTTTAACACTTTTCCCACAGCGTTCTCCTGGAGAAACTGGCTGTTTATGGCTTGGACAGGTGCACTCTTCACTGGGTTAAAAACTGGATGGCTGAGCCCAAAGAGCTGTGGTGAATAGTGTTAAACCCAGTTGGTGTCCAGTCACAAGTGGTGTTCCCCAGGGCTCAGTATTGGGTCCAGTTCTGTTTAATGTCTTTATCGATGATCTGGATGAGGGGATTGAGTGCTCCCTCAGTAGGTTTGCAGATGACACTAAACTGGGTGGGAGTGTTGATCTGCTCGAGGGTAGGAAGGCTCTGCAGAGGGACCTGGACAGGCTGGATCGATGGGCTGAGGTCAATTGTATGAGGCTTAACAAGGCCAAGTGCCGGGTCCTGCACTTGGGTCACAACAACCCCAGGCAGCGCTACAGGCTTGGGGAGGAGTGGCTGGAAAGCTGCCTGGCAGAAAAGGACCTGGGGGTGTTGGTCAACAGCTGGCTGAACATGAGCTGGCAGTGTGCCCAGGTGGCCAACAAGGCCAACAGCATCCTGGCCTGTATCAGCAATAGTGTGGCCAGCAGGAGTAGGGAGGTGATCATGCCCCTGTACTCGGCATTGGTGAGGTCACACCTCGAGTGCTCGGTGCAGTTTTGGGCCCCTCATTGAAAGAAAGACCTTGAGGTGCTGCAGCATGTCCAGAGAAGGGCAACAAAGCTGGTGAAGGGTCTGGAGAACAGGTCTTATGAGGAGCAGCTGAGGGAACTGGGGTTGTTTACCTTGGAGAAGAGGAGGCTGAGGAGAGACCTTATGGCTCTCTACAGCTACCTGAAAGGAGGTTGTAGTGAGGTGGGGGTTGGTCTCTTCTCCCAAGTAACAAGTGATAGGACAAGAGGAAATGGCCTCAGGTTGTGCCAGGGGAGGTTTAGATTGGACATTAGGAAAAATGTCTTTACTGAAAGAGCAGTCAAGCATTGGAACAGGCTGCCCAGGGAAGTGGTGGAGTCACCATCCCTGGAGGTGTTTAAAAGACATGTAGATGTGGTGCTTAGTGACATGGTTTAGTGGTGGACTTGGCAGTGCCGCATTAACAGTTGGACTTGACCTTAAAGGTCTTTTCCAACCTAAATGATTCTATAGTGTAAGGCAGCATGCAGAAAGAAGCCGAAGCTCCAGAACTAGGTTGGCAGGGAGAAGGAAGGATTAATTGTTTGTTTTTCCTGCTGCTAATCATTAGCTCAATTTCCTCATCTCTTCAGGATGAGCAATTTTTGCTGAATAATATCCAAAGGCTCAGAGGAGTTCTGGCTTGAGGGAGCTGACAGATTTGACTGTGATAATGGCTACATCAAATAGCTTAAGGATGATTATCATCAGATAGTTTAATTCCACTTAATTTCTGTGGAAATTGCTCCTCTAAGGGACTTTTAATAGTTTTGAAAATGTCTTGCTTGCTCTGGACTTTTGAGGATTTCAAACTGTGGAGAGTTTTTCTGAGAAGATGGCATGTCCAGACCCAGCAGTGGTGCATAATTGAACATTCATTTAAAGCTCTGGCCACTCAACTACTTAGATTTTTGCCACATGCTCTGTAGTCATGACCTGTGTAGTGGTTTGGGTTTTTTAGGAAGGACTCCTGGCTGTGTGGAAAGTATTTATTTCTATAGAGTTAAACAGAGCTCCTACATTGAGGCTTCATAACAAAAGAGCTGTTGTTTGTAAAACTAGGTGAAGTATGTTAGAGACCTCCCTTCCCATTAAATTTGAGTACTTACTGATCCTGCACCAGTGAAAACAGGTTTTAGGTGGTGACAAGTTTGCATCTAGGAGTAGGTCTTAGAGTTGTCTGTGCTTGAAGAGAAGAAAAAAATATTCTAAGGTGGGGGAGCAAAGAGAAATGTCTGAGATTAACGTTTCTATTTTTATTATAAATATGTGCTGTGGCATGGCAAATAGCATAGTACTACTGGTTTGTTAAGAAGCTTTTTAAGACATTAATGGTGGCTTAACAATGATAAAGTACTTAAATGCATATGTCGTTTCTGTCAGCAAACAAATGAAAGATCTGGAGGAGTCGGGATTCCTGAAAGGAGCTCGGAGTGCGGAGGAGCAGTTGGCTCTCATTAGCGTCTGTACAGACCTGAAGGCAGCAGTAGAGGGTGCTACTTTCGTTCAGGTAAGCAAAGATTTGACAACTCCCAGCAAAGAGTTTAGCAAGGTGATCAAGAGCCGTACTGTGCAGTAGGTGGGCAGTGAAGAGTTAGTTAGACATCCTGACTCCATAAGGGTAGTTGTGCTTATTAAAAGTGAAGTTCTTTCTAGCCTAGTATCCTGACATGGGTGATTGTGCCCTTTTGCAGGATCTCCTACTTGAGAGTCCTTGCAAGTCTCTTCTGGGTCATGTTGGAAGAGGCTGGCAGCTAAGCTGAGAGAGAATTGCTGACCTCCATGTGTAACAGACTGTACCTGTTAGAAAGACAAATGTGAGGGGAAGGTGGCCAGTAGATTCCTGGGGGACAGATTATCTCTTAGGGGACACCACGCATTCTAGTGCTGAGACTAAAATGTGTTTCTTCTTCTCCAGGTACCTCAGGAAGGCAGGGAATATGGCTATGCCCAGGCGTGACTTCTATTTAGACTGTGGGGAAGCGCTGTAGCCAAAAGCAGCTATCCCACAGAGTGTTAGAGTATTAAAAACAGGCTTGATAAATAGGGCTGGAATCTACGCTGCTAAGTACAATTGGGATAGGGAACAAGATGAATTACTGGACTTGATAATCTATGGCTGCTTAACTATTAGTTTGCTCACTGTCATGGGCATAGTTCAGGGAATAGATGAATTTGGGACCATTTCTGGGATAAAGTATGGATGAGTTTGCATTGGACTCGCCATCTTCTACCCTACGTGGTCCCCCAGTATTATTCCAGTGTTGTACTGTTAACTGTGTCTACATATATATGTGCTGCACCCAAGAGTTTACAGCGTATACTGTTTCAGCCTGTAAATCCTGCAGTCTGCTTAGCTGCAACGCATCCCTAATAATAAATTGAAGTAAAAAGGGACAAATTTCTAGACCTTTACTTCCTTCCAAGTTGGTGAGGTGGAAGGGGAGAGAATGAGTGGCAGAGCAAAGCCTCACACAGGAGTCAAGGTGTGAATACAGTATAGATTTTTACAGTGATATACTATTTTGTGTTCACTTCCTTTTCTGCAGATCATGAAACTATATACAGTTACCCCAATATCTTACTCCTTCCTCAGAGTTTGTCAGTTCCTACTATTGTTTTTACATATGTATCACCTACCTCTGCTGAGTTTAATCTGAAAATTTATTGTCTAGTCACTAAATCATGTGAAGTCCTTCCAGAAATATTTGCGGTTGTAATGATGACAACCATCTTAATTTTATGAGCTAACTTTCAGGTCATTTGTGAATGGATATAACAAAGGGCACAGCTATCTGTCAAACAGTACTGGTCAGCATCTTCCACTGAGTAAGAACTGACTGTTCGTGCTACCTTCTGCTTACTATTTCTTTACCAGTTATTGCCCATGAAAGGACCTTTTATCTCACATGTGACCAGTTAACTTCCTTGAAAGGTTTTGTTGGTTTTTGTTACAAGACTTCTGGGCATTCATACCAACTGCATCAGCTACATAACTCCTGTGCCTGTGCTTTCTGCTTCCTTTAGAGAATTCTACTAGGTCTGTGAGTCAGGACTTCCCTCCGAAAAGTTGCTTTGATTCTTCCCTGTTTATGTAATACTCATTTGGTGCTACCCTTTTCTCTTAACTTGCTTGACAGAGACATTAGTCTTACAGGCTTATTGTTGAGATCTTTCCTGAAGTTCTCATAGAAGTTGCATCATGCTTGCCACTCTTCTGCTCTTTTGGTACCAAAATAGTGTACATTCAGTTTTGTTTCACATGAGCCATTGTATGTCATTGTAACAGAGTTGAGTATTTCAACCCTATCAAAACATGTCCCAGTACTGTGGTTCTGGTTCCTCTCTCCTCTGTTCTATGACATCTTCAGCTACTTTCAGTTTGAGACAGACCCTGGGAGTTCCCAAGACTAAGGCTTCAGTATTCTATGAGGATTAGAAGGAGAAACAGAACAGTTGCAATGAAATCACGGTTGTGTGTGTGTTTTCCAGACAATCCCTCTGTACTCTGATCATCTGTTGGTCCTATGCATTCTTCTTTTCCATGCATTTTGAAGAAGGAAGGGAAATTTTTCTTAATTACTCCTCTTATAAATTGTGAGGGAGTGGTGGTGGTGGTGGTGGGTGTTTCCGTTGCTTTGTCTTATTTTGGCAAATTAACAATACTACATGGCCGTGTTCATTTGGTGTGCTGTGTCAACTTTGTGAAGTTTGGTAGACTCTTCTAGTTCTCTCTGTTTTCTTTTGCTCTTTCAAGCGTTTCTTACTACCTGGTGTGTCCATATGGTGTCTTTACTTTCTCAGTGTGCTACCTGTACCGATCTGATGCTTCTTACTGCCAACTTTGCATCTCCTTACTGTCCTCATTTCTTTTGCTATCTTCTTTTGAAGCTGAGCACAGCTGTGATGGAGTTCTTGGCTCTTGTTGCTCTGACAGAGATGTTGATTTATAATATGCTATTGTTCCTATTAGAATGGTTCTTCAGCAGTAAGATTTTTTTGAACAATGCCCTGCGTGCTCCTTCTCTACCTGCCCATCAGCTGGTCTGTGAAACAGTCATTGCGCAAATGTTGCAGAATCAAAGTAATTTTGAGTTGGAAGGGACCTGTGGTGATCATCAGGTCCAGCCTGTTGCAGGACCAACTTACATCAGCTTGCTCAGGATTTGTGCAGTTGAGTTTTGAATATCTCTAAGCATAAACACTTCTGGTCTCTTTGGGCAACTTGTTACAACATTTGATTACCCTCGTTGTGCAGCTTCTTTCATAATATCTAATTGGACTTTCCCTTCTTGCAACTTTAGTTTCTTTACTCTCATCCTACCAGCATGGACCTCTGAGAAGAATCTGTGCGTTCCCTTCAGCTAGCTGAGGACAACGGTGTTGCATTGATAGTCTCTGAATAGCAACAGTCTATCTGAGATAACTCAAGCTTTCTGGTACTGTTTTATATTCCCTTAGCCCTTTTGATGTCTCAACAGGTAATTGTTTAGCATATAAATAAATAAAAATAAGTTAAATAGCTGCAGTATGCCCATGAGTAACAAATCATATGTGTGAAACACTGTTGGGGATGTTCGTATCAGTTCATCAGTTTCAAACCATAGCATCAACTTCTGGTTTGATACAAAGTGTTAAAAAATACACAATGTAAGTGGGCAAATTAGTTGAACTAGTCTTTAATTTGCTCTTGGAAGGTAGGGGCAGAATGGATATAAAAGAATCTTAATTCTAGGCTCACAGCCTTGTTCCATCAATGAACAGACTACCTTTTGCTGAACCATATTAAACTTCAGAAGCATTGCCTAGTGCAGCTTGGAACCTGGAAGGACAAGATTGACTAATTGCAGTGAGTGCAAGTGTACTGATTTTTAATTACTTAAAAAATAAAGCATCAGTTGCATTAGTTAGTTGGATATAGAGGACTCTCTTCTCTTGCTTAGTGGTGTAACCTACTGATTAACTTGTCAGAAGACTTCCATGAGAGCTGTGTTTCTTTACCCTAGCTTTCAGTTGGTTAAATCTTAACTTCTTTTCAAATTTGGCCTTTGCAGAGTAAGTCCACTTCAAGCTTTAAAAATTTCCTTGATGTTTGCACTCCTTGAATGAAATCTGCAGGTAGTTGCTTTCTATGCCATTTTCATGGGACATAAAACAAATGGGATGAAGTAGTAAAAAGTGGAACTTCCTAAATGGCATTAATGAAGACATAAAAGTGAAAAAGATGCAAGAAATAATTAGAAGGACTGAGTAAGAAGAAAATTCAGAACAGTAATGTCATGAATCTTTAAAAACAATGTATGCCTTGATGCATACTGTTTTACATAGTCCCTCTCCTGAGCATTTTTATAAAGTAAATTATCTTGACTGATGTGCTTTGCATTAGCTTCAGAAGGAAATCAGTCTGTTTTTTGCTCTAAAACTGAACAGTCACCAAGAAAATTATGGAAGTGGTAGTTTCACTTCATAGCGATTTCCTATGCTACTTAAGAGTCAGTGCATAACCTATAGCATTTAGTTGAATGTGCACTGCAAGATTCTTTTCAATTAGGTGAAAGCTCCAGGGAGACAAATCAATGGATACATTTATACTATATTGTCCCTGGCATGGAACTATCATGAGTGAGGTAAATGTTTCTTTATACTGTGCTCTTTCGTGCATAAATATATGACAGCTTTTATCTTTTGTCCTTCTGTGACTGTTGGGTACTGAACTTACTAGTATTCCTTTCACTATTAAAATCAGCACTTGTATGATCTCTTACCACAGTGCTAGTAAAATGAAAACGTACTTTTTTTTAAATGTTTTGCTTTGGAACAATTTACTAACAGAATAATAAAGTTTATTAGCTCTCAGAGGAGGATGACTAACTATTGATGAGATCTTACTCTTGACACTTGAGCTGCTGTGTACACTTGTGAGTTATGAGGCCTGGCCGGGCTGGTTAAAACTGGCCATGGAGGGTGACTTGAGAGGTGATCGCCAAACCTGTCAGCCCTGCTGTGGCATGGGACAAAGCAGACTGGCAAGGGGATGAAATTAAGCTTGTAACTTACACCTCATGGTCTGAGGTATTTATCCTTTTTTCATTTGAAAGGAACTCTGCCTAAAAGCCTTCAAATGGTATCATTTCCAACCTCCCCCATCCCTCTTTAAAAAGAGAGGGCATGCCCCCTCCCAATTACACCTGCAAACTCGTTTGAACTGGTGATAACAATACTAATGGATCTTCAGCCTGATCTCTTTTGGATCTTACTGGCTCTTTTATCTCTCCTAGTTAGAAGTATTTAGAAAAACAGTGTTACCAGCTTAAAACCAGCTTTTAAAAAGGCTGATGGTGCCTCAGAATGGGAAACTAGCATTGACATGGGAGCCTTGACACTAGGTGTCTCGTGTCTCCTGTCATAAAAATTTGTCTTTGATTGTCTGGTACCAGTTTCTGCCACTAGTTTTTGTTTTACTTTCCTGATGGCTTTTAAGAACTCCTTTACTTCTGTGGATGAGAGAAT